GATCAGTCTCGCGCAGACATACGTACGCTCCCACCCACCTACGCACGTATTGTCCGGGACACGACCGCCAACGCCGCCGAGGAATATCAACCTCACGTGCCCCGCTATATTATTATCATTATCATTTTATTTTTATGAAGAAGCCAACGATTTTGTCTCCTATTATTATTATTATTTAATAATGTTTTTTTTTTTTTTTTTTTAATATCCTCGCCAAACCACTGCCGGGAATTTTTTTTATTAGCGCCATTTTCATTTACTTAATTAGTTTTTTTTTTTACATCAGAGTTTTTGCGAGTCAATTTATTTTTTCTAATTGATTTACATATTCTAAATGAATTAATTCGTCAGACATCTTACTGGATTCCATTAAATGAGTCTTGGTTTTATAGTGCGCGCCTAATATATACATAATAGAGTTCACAATAATAACTTTTCAAGCATAATATTTTTAATGGTATATTTAAATAGAAATCCAGCGTAAAGAATATCGAAAATAATACGATTTTTAATAAGAATCTTTTTTATTCTTAATATATTTTCATTAAATTCAAACATGATTTAATCGAATAAATATTCCAAAACAGCAAGCATTAAAATTTGTATAGTTTTATATTAAAGCAATATTTTTTTTAAATAAGTATGATTTCATGTATATAACAATTAATATGTATATTTAAAAATTAAAATAATTTTAGTAATTGTTATAATTGTGGGATGTCATATTATCTTAATATATAGGACAACACAGGAATTATGATACATACGTATTATCTATAGTCGTATTAACGTTGATTCAAAAACAAATTTTATTGATCGAATTGAGGATTACGAGTATTTTTTAAATATATATTTAATTTAAAAACAGTTAAAATTAAACAACAAGCAATTTTTGTCTTTAAATAATTCATATTACACATGATGTAAACTCCAAACGGATACATTTTTTTAATCAAAGTTTTTCACTGGGAAAATAGACACATAAATAATAACACGAAAGTTAACAACGATGATTATACAATCGGGAAACCTACCTTATGTTAGGCTGAATTATATAATATAAATTCAAAATTCTACCGACACCACTTTTCTTTATATATTATGTTTGGGCGTTAATCACAGCAGTTTTATTTCTATTAAACTAGACGACTAGGTATTCGATAATACTTCAATAAATACGTGTCACGATGACGTATTCTGAATGCATGGACTCTATAATTATGTAACAAATACAACACTAATATTCCAAACGCAGATTTCTGACGATCCTAAAGTCATAATATTGTGACCCACAGACTTCTATTAAGCCATTTTGAAACCATTTAAATTATATATAAATCTATAAAAACGGTTAACTGATGACCATGGCTAACTGCAGATTAATAATCTATACAATAACTACACAACATTATCCTTAACATGGTCGATATTCCCATCAAAATTAATCGAAAGCTAATGAGTAACTAAGATTTAATTAATAAATATTATTTCACCTTCATTCCCCACATTTGGTCAAGTTCTACTATCAGAAATGGCAATTTATAGATAATATAATACTTCTGCATAAATATTTTATTACACCAGCAAAAGCATACCACGGTCCAACTTTTGGAAAGTTATAGACGGTACTACAATATTTTCAGACAGTTTAATATATTAGTCTAAGCGATTAAACTAACCACAAAATTCTCTCTGTAAGTAAGTAATCACATCTTATACCATGATTACAAAATGTAAACAATTTCTAACTTAGCGCCTAATAGTTCAAACTATTCTGTTCCAAATTATATAGCCATCATTTACAAATTAACTAATGCGAATATTTTCAAAAACGATAACAGTAACAATTAGTAACTCTTCAATCATTATTATAAGATTAAAATAGATATAATATATGATGTTAATTAAAATACATACTTATATACTTATATGTCGTAGGCATATAGTCAAATCAGGCATTTTATTAAATGCCTAGGCATATAGATATAGTCAAAGAATTTAATGTTTATGCAATTTCACTATCCGCCTAAACATTTAGTGAAATGYCTAGTCATTTGACTCAATGCCTATTTCATGCCAGGCAAATAATAAAAAAACATTTTGTGTTTTAAAAAATTTAAATATATTTTCTAWCAGTTATTTATTGCTATTTATTYATATATATAAAAAAGCTGTATATTATTTATTAAAATGAAAACCACGTAGGTATATGAAATAATATGTTTAATTTTGTGTTAATTAYTATTTAGTATTGTTTTAAAAATGAAATCATAAATATATTCAGGTAATAAATAATTAGATGTGATARACATAAATGATAGTACGAGTACATTGTAAAGCCTATATATAGAGGAATATATAGTCAGTATAGTCTATAGTACGAGTAGTGAGTACCTACTATATATATATATATATTCTTATTAAATAAAAATAAAAGTTCCATTGGTTTTTACCTTGGAAAATTAACGTAGGTACTAGGTTGTATGAGAACCTTATCTATATTGAGTACCGTGGAACAAATTATAATCTTATCGATTATAACGACAAAATTATGGCGTTATGGAAAAAGATACAGAACATGCGATTTAATTGTACAATAATTTAGTTTAGTACGTCTACGTCTATTACGTTTAAATAAATAACTGATAAAAAATATATTTAAATTTTTAAAAGAATAAAAAAATGTTTTTTATTATTTGCCTGGCATGAAATAGTTATTTAGTYAAATGCCTATTATAGTCATTTAATTAAATTACTAGGAATTTAACTAAATGTCTAGGCGGATAGTGAAATTGCATAAACATTAAATTCTTTGACTATATGCCTAAGCATTTAATAAAATGCCTGATTTGACTATATGCCTACGACATATATATAAATCAACAAAAATCTAGAACTCTGCAGGAAACAGCAATGAAGCTTAAAATATTAATATTATTTGCATCACTTATAGCATCATTTCATATAGAATCTATAATAAAGATTATCTCAAATTGGTTTCTCGTAAAAATATATAGCATATATATTTCCAATATAATATATAATTTGAAATAATCGTTTATTAGAATACTATTACAATATTAGAAAGTAAATGTATAAATTATTTTGTTAGTATCTGCTAAAATCCTAAAGTATGACATAAAACACGTTTTAAAACTTCTATAATATGTTTATTATAGATTATAGATAGAAAATATCAGAACGTGTTACAAACACCATTAAACAGAAAAAAAACGAATATCAAATGTCATGTTTTGATGATATAATCAAATATTAATCATATTTCATTGATTCTGAGTCAAAACTCAAAACGATATACTCTTAAAGTAGTATTGTAATAATAATATGAAATCTTGACATATAATGGAGAAGGTACGTACGTAGTAGGAACATTAAAATACACTCAAATTATTCTAATGCGTATAACTTATCCGATTTCGGTTACTATAGGATTTGCATCCCTTCCAGTACATATATTACCATTCCAAAACTGTGGGCTTAGTCCCAAAGATAATATTTAATAAAACAATTCTATTGACCGTATGAATTAAACCTCGGTCGTACTTATACATTGCCTTGTTGTTTTGGGTTCTCTTACATTAAGAATTATATTTGGGTCGAATAGAAAACGTATTACATAATGCGCATGTTGGCAATAGTAGTATGAAGGGTGAAATCGTTAAGGACTACCGCACAGGATGTTAAATAGAGTCCTATTCTACATATTTTACATAATATAAACACAAGAATTTCCTTTAATAAAACTAAAAATATTTTGACACATGTTATGTGCTAAGACTAAAATAAAACACTTAAGATAGATTATACAAAAAATATATGAGCACGAACAGTCGAAAATTTATGTTTGTTATTATATAATTAGTAATTACTATAAGCAATATGAAAGTAATTTACCCATTTCCTTCAAGAATTATTATATTCTATGAATAATATAGGTAATATGTATAAGTATGCATATATATTATATATGTTATACTTTAAAAAGATTAATGAAACGCTAGTTCAAAAGACAATCGTAAGTCTAACCAMTTCCTAGATAATTTATATACCATTATTGATTTACTTTCTGACCAATTGAATAAGAAACGTTGTATTTAAAAAAAATGTTTTATACCTATAAATAAAAATATTAAACATAACTTTTAAAATCACTATCGTTTTATATATTATAAACTAGATATGTAATTTATTATACATATGTATTTTTTTTTTTGATTTTTCATTATATCTATATTTTATATAAAAAAATAAAAATTGTAAAGGATTTCAATCTAAATAGTAAATCCGTTAATGAATCGTTTAGTTTAAATTTAAATTTAAAAAAATCATTATCATAAAACAATTTTTGAAAATAAAAACCGATGTCATAATAAAATCGACGAATACTCAGTAAAATGTACGTAAATAATGCTACGTCAATTCGCTGCATATATTATGTTTGTGTGTGTACATGTGTGCGTATAACGAAAGAAATCGAAAATATCTGGATTTACATTATAATATACGACATGATGATACACGATCAATCCAATATAGGTTACATGCCAATGTTCGAAATAATAAATGCACGAAATGTTTATAAAACCACAAAAATTCGAAACAACTTACTCTTACATCATCTCCGGTCGGTAGGCGTACGTTTCATATTTCACGGAATAAATTCAATTCAAAACTAGTAGTATTCGAATTCGTACTATTGTACTATTTATCTATTCGTTTATATCTGTTGCAGGACGTGACATCAATTCGAAGCACATATACGCGTAATAAGATATTGGTTATGTTCAAATCGTTGGCAGTGAAGAAATAGACAGTATTACACCCCTGTTGATGACGGTGTGTGTGTGTGTGTGTATTTATTTATACATATAGGTAGCGCGTAAAATACGGAAAAAACACGGGACTTATTCTTGCGTAGTGAATACAAATGACGAAAATATTTTGTCAGAAAAAAAAAATAAAATAAATATTCCACTTACTGAAATCGATGAGAAGTCTGCCGTATCCTTGCCTTTGATACGGGGGTAACGTTAATATACAGCTCACGTTGAAATTCAAAAACGAATTCTTTTCCTGTAAAGAAAAAAAAAGTTTCACAATTTAAATGCTATTATCTACGCTGTTCGATAACATTATACTAAATGTTTAAATACATTGGTAAGAGCGTTGAAGCAAATTTGGGGATGGGGTAAAGGTTATCAATATATTTATCGACAACTCGAAATTAATTGTAACGTAAAATAACAAAGATCTTAGTATTAATCATAATAATAATAATAACAATAATGCATTTTGATTCTAAAAAAAAACTCAGTGCTGCGATTAACATCACTATACTTATTAAAAGCAATCCGCACGTGTGGTAATAATAATAAATATATAATCTTTAAAAATCGCCTAATTTTTGAACTCACTCCATACCCATAAATGACTCTTTGAAGGCCATTAAATCAATTACAAATTCCTATTCAACAATGAATTAATACAACATACCCAAGAACTAATAACTTCTAATATACACATGTACGGATACCCAGAAACGAAAAAACTAACTTAGCACAGAAAACGAAGCCATCTCATTTCAACATTTCATAAAAATAAACATAACCATATTCTCAGAGACATTCAATTTTATCAATCACAAAATAAAGGAAGCATGGCAGAAAAATTTAAATAAAGACAAGTACTTACTATTTACAAATAAATTTAGAAATATCAAACCCTTCATAAAAAAAATGGAAATTTCTCTTTATTTTAAAAATAAAAGAAGAAGTAATAATTATCAGTGACCGAATAGAACATATGACCCAACATACAAGGAGAACCTTACAACCAATCACATTGTCACTAAATATCCAAATTACACCGATGTACGAAAACTCTTTCTTAACTCATGCTCACTCTAATATACACTTAATGTAGAATCCTTGGAAGAGCACATATAATTATTTTTTCATAATACATATAAACTCAAGTCGAAAATTCTAATGTTTTAACAATGTTATATTGTTTTACTTACAATCTGTTTCTAATCTAAATGTACTGCTACTAAGTAATATACCTAGCTGATGAAGCATTAATAGATAAAATAAATAATAAATAAATAAATGCACGCATTGAGTGTGTGATAAAAATGATAGAGAAGTGTATAGAATTATTAATATTTACTATAATGCTACATTATTTACGACTGATATTAGACAGTGTACTATAATTTCAAACAATTGACATATTTTGCACTTTAGCTACAATGCTACATAATATAATGGGTATGTATAAATGGTAATATAATGGTATTATATACACCAAAATCGGATTTAATCCTCAAACGACCGGGTCGGATGGCTGCTACTTGCAAAATATAATCAATGATCTACAGCACCCAAACATTTAATGTAAACAATATTTAAATGCATGTAAGACATAGTTGACATACGCCGATTTATGTGTTATGTCTTAAAATAAATAATAATCTGCACGCGATTTCTAAAAAAATATATTCAATTTTTTAAGGTTACAATGACACGAATTCTATTTTTATTTTGAAATTTTCTAAGAACCGAACAAAGGAAATAGGAAAGATTGTAATTTTAAAGATCAATGAGCACAAGCGATTTCGGATATATGATAACAAAATATAATTTGTAAATCGTTGTGAAACATTACAAATCGCAAACATTGTAAATATGCCATTATAAACTCCATACTCATTTATAGTACTTTTATAATTATGGAATATTTAAGCGGAAATATATTAAGTGATTACAAACAAATGTATTTATTGGTCTATAAAAAATAAAATACGATGAATAATTGTACAATTTATTTGTGATATTATAAAAAGTTTTAATTTAGTTTGGTTTTACCAAAGGTTACCAAGTATCTCCCAACCACAAATTGGTACACTTAAACTACGCAGATGACGTATTTTTGACAGAAAGCTAATAGTAAACTTACTTAATATTTATACCTACTTTATACTTATACCTATACTATCCAGGATCCATTAAGCGGCTATAAAAGCTGCATAAATTTACAGTAAATAACCAATAAAGAAAACTCTTAGGAGATAGCTTTTCCCGAGACGCTAATACAAAGCTTAAAATAGTAATGAAATATAAAACATTGTTGAAATACCCTTTATATTTTGCATCGATTTCAATAATATAAATTATCCATTGAAATTGTTCACAAAAGTATCTATTTAATATTATAATATTTGTTTACTTAAAATAGACACATTTAAAATTATTATTTACACAGAAAAAATAATTATTTCTTACTTTAAAACTATTAAAACTATCCTATGATCGTTTTTTTTAGTGATTTCAGTAAATTTGATTTTATGTAAAGCCAAAATAAGATAACCACTAACGTTTGAGAAATTTAAACACCTTATCGGAAATATTCAAGGCTTTTTCGTCCCCTCTAGAAGTCATAACACATACGGTACAAATACATAAGATCCAATCTAAAATCTGTATGTGTTAAAAGAAATATCAAATGAATAACAAACAACATTTTCAAGAAAACCGAAATGGAAGCTAAAAGTGAATCATCGGAAACTGACTAAACCAATATCTTCGGCCTATTATTTACCAAAGCAACACAAATTCTACAATTAATATAAGATTTCAACACTTCAACACTAACAACTATAATTATATTTATATATTAATAAGTATTTTTTTTTTTATATGATATTAAATGTAAAGCCAATGGCCTTTGTTGTCGAAGCAGAAATTATTAATTAATATTTCAAGACCAATAAAATGCATAAAACTATAACTAGCTAGCATTATTACACCATTAGTCACCATCCAGCATTTCACAGACGGGTCAACGTACTTACTAGATTATCTACAGCATGAAACTCACTCATTAAATAACACTAGAAAGTTCAATACAATTTTTTTAAGTTTTATTATGATCATTGATCATGAGTAAATTATACTTGTAAGTATATACTATATATCTACGAGTTTCAAAATTTAGTCGTATCTATTTAAGGGATTTTTTATTAAAGTTGATTATCTAATTAATTATTAATCAATAAATATAAATATAATATAATAAGATGCGATTAAAGGAGGTAGGTACTCAGTTTGAAAATACGTGGAATTTAAATTTAAATATTAAATATTAATTATTGTTATTTGTTTGACGCATTTATAATATATTCTCGGAATACTAAATTGAATCAAATTTTATGCAAATTGTGTATACTATTCAAGAAATGCCAATCATTTACAATCGTTTCCAAAATTAATTTATTAATTAAGGTGGTTTAAAGTGGTTGTTTTAACTTTTAAGCATCAAAAGTAAGCAAACATACTGCATTTATTTTTACAAAAATATGTACAATGACCTTTTATATTTTTGATTAATTCGTTTATTATAATAGCCGTGCAGATGTATAAACACGTGATGTTTTTATATATTATAATACTGTATTAATGTAGACTCATAAACAAATACAAATCAATAGTTATTTATTTATGCAAACGAATGCCAATAGATGTTAATTTTAGAAGCTTTATTCACTTCATTTAATTTTGATTTCGACTAAAATGTTCGCTTAAATATTATTCCATATGAAATGATAATAATTAACAATAAATTTATATACAAATCAAACATTTTATTACCTTGTATCAACTGTTATAACTAAACGTTTAATCAAACTAATTTCTAGTGATCTCAAATATATTATTGTCAATTGTCGTGTGTAGACTAATGCCATATAATATAATATTAGTAATAATATTATATAATGATATTATTTTAGTATTAATATTGCATAAATATAAAACCCAATAGGAATACATCGAAAATACACAATATATAATAAACGTACATTAGTTGTATCTATCTATAAACAGTATACTTATAAAAAATCATTTGCCAACCATAAAATAAACTTAGTATCGTTATTCAATAGACTATTGAGTTTTAAATGTGTTAATTATAAATTAACTTTACTATACGCGTAGTATCATTAATTTAGACTTTTAAGACGAGAATATCAAAAATTTCTAATTAGATTAAAAACCATAATATTCTTTCACACACAATTGAATAATCAAAATACATTTAAACGAAAATGTTACTATGATTATTTATTTCACTGATATATTTTATTTTGAATAGATAATATTGATCACAATAAGTTGAGTTACATTAACATGGTTTCACAATATTTTGTTTAAATTGTTGGTTATTACCATATGTCCTTTTTAAATTTCTCGAAAAAAAAATTTGTTTAACTRTTCCAAAAAAATGATACTTTTAGTGTTTGTAAGTATATCATTGTCATTATTGAGTGTACTCTTGTCCCCTCCCCCCACTCTAGTTTCTAAATGAGCAACTTCATAGTTTATGACATTTAAATTTTTGGTTAATTACTCCTTATTTTAAGTTACTTAATAAAATTAATATTATAGGTATATATAGAACAAACTACAAAATGATTATCAATTGGTGTGATTGTGTGGGCAAAAGTTGTTTATCAATGATCATAAGACCGGGTAAAAAAAAAATAAAGGGCTTTAGTACCAGCTATTTTACTGAAATCGAGTCTCCGGGGTTACGATAAGTACATTTTAAACATATTTTTCAACATTTTAAAACCACACTAGAATATTATATGTATAGTATATAGGTATACAGAATGAATCAATTTTAACACATCATTACACAAAATATCAATAGTATTTAAAATACAAAAATATCCTGTGAGTATGCATATTCACAAGAAACTATTTAATAATAATGATAACAAAAATATAATTAAATATTATTTGCAAGAATTATGAAGTACGTTATATTATATATTTTAAATATGTTCATGAAATTCAATATTCACCGAACATTATTATATAATATGTAGATTTATTATTTTATATGCAATAAATATCATTTATTAATTTTTTTGAACAGTTATAAATTTATAATATAATTATAACTTATAAACTATATATATATTATACTAATACTCTTTGATTAACGTCACCTAGTTGAATAATTCGATCAACAGACGAATACAAATAAAGATCTTTATTGTTCGAACAATT